TCTTTAGATGCAGAAAAAGCTTTTGACAAAATATATAGATAGTACATGTTTGCTGTATTAAATAGGTTTGGATTTCCCTTGAAATTTATAAAATGGATTAAGATACTATAGGAGTCGCCCACATCTGAAGTAAAAGTTAATGGAATTCTTTCTGCTACTTTCCCGTTATTTAGAGGAACTAGACAAGGATGTCCACTTTCACCTTTGCTTTTCAATATCTGCATGGAACTCTTGGCTTGTGCTACTAGACAGCATAGGGAGATTTACAGAGTAGTACATAATTCAGTTGAACACAATCTGGTTTTATGTGCAGATGATTATTCTTTTGTTTATTACCAAACCTCATACTACTATTCCAGTGTTGATGCAAATGATAGATGACGTTAGTTAAATAGCAGGATATTCTATCAATTGGTCTGAATTGGAATTGATGCCAGTAGGTGAAAATTTAGTTACCCATCCATTTAAGAAATATCAATTTCACTTTTCCATCTACTGCATTTCTGCACTTAAAAGCTATGGATAATAATCTGATTTTAGTTCTTTATGCGCATTTCTATGACAGGTTATTTATTTATTTATTATTTTTGAAACATTTATTTTTCAGGTTTTAAAAATCAGTTTGCTTGGCCATAGAAAACGTATTTTGGCCTCATTGGGAGACCGGATTCACGAAGATCCACCTCAGAAACCACCACGTTCTATAACCCTCAGGGTAGGTTCTATCAAATCTGTTTTAGTGCCTTGTAATATCTGAACTGTACGTTTTAAGTCATAGTATCTTCCAACACAAAGAGAGATTATTATTTAATAACTGGATCTATCAATAACTGAACTGACTTGTTTGATTAGGGAAAAGACAACAAGTATATTCATTAGTGACTGGAAACTCTTTATGGACTTTTTCCTGAAAATGGAAAAAATGAACTGGTGATTTATGGATTCGATGACTAGAAAAGATAAAATATAGGAAGAAGGGAATCATGAAGTAACCTTAAAGAGGGAGGACAGATGATAAATTTATTTCTAACTGCTGTAAAGATCAGAAGCTGCTTCTTTGTACTTGTTTTTTCTTTCTCTTTTATTTATTTATTCACCACTTTTATTTACTCTTTTCTTTTTCTTAAATTTGTATCATTTTTAGTATTGTGTAAAATTCTTAAAAATTAATTTAAAAAAAACCAGAAGGCTAAAAATGTGAGGGCCTGCTGGACCTAGGGGGAAGGGCATTCCACAGGGCAGGGGTTGCTACAGAAAAGGCACATTTCTCAAGTCCCGCTAGATGGCAACATTTAAGAGAAGGGACCTGGAGCACGCCCACTCTAATCAACCTGGTGGAACAGGCAGATATCCTGGGGGAGAGGTGGTCTCACAATAAACCATGCCATGTAGAGCTTCAAAAGTGATAACTAGCACCTTGAATTGCACCTGGAAAGGCACAGGGAGCCAGTGTAGCTCACACAAGAGTGGTATAAGATGGGTAACGTTGCTTGCACTGCCACATTCCAGACCAATTGTAACTTCCAGATGGTATTAAAGGGTAGCCCCATATAGAGTATGTTGTAGTCCAACTGGGAAGTCACCAAGGCATTTATATAACTACTTAGATATTTTTGTGCACAGTATTAAATATTCATTTAAACTCAAGTCTTCTATTTTTCTAAGCATTCAATTTTTTTGTTAATATGGTGATCTGGAACCTAGCCTTATTTAATATCTATGTCATTGCCAAGCCATAAAACATCATTTTCATATTTCATGAACTGATATTTCATGATTACCCTGATATTTTAATATGATTCTTTGCTACAAGCTCAACCCTAGTAATGTTTATATAACAGATGCCTCCTATGATTGAAATACAATTTTAATTTTTTATGGAGATTGGAAAAAGAGGTTTAGTTGCTTTTATTTACTACTTCTCTTCAGATAATAAAGACAGCTATTACAGATTACAAACTACTCTTTTTCTTTCCAATATAACTTTATCCCCAAGCCATTTTTTCCAAATTAAAATTATATTACAGGACTGCCTACTCCACTAGCACTGGCCCAACCTTAGAGCAATTAGAGAGAAGCTGCTACAAATTGCAGGTTTTTGGGAGGTTTGGGGGCTGAAGCAAGAAGGCGTTGCTTTTCTGTGGCAGGACCAGTGCTGTAGAACAGTCTGTCAGGGGAGGTTAGCTCCCTCCCTGCAGACATTGTGGAAATTTCTGAAAATGGAATTGTTTCAGAGGGCTTTCCCCTGAGATTATATAGGATACCACCCTTTACTTTTTATTATTTTGTTTTAGGCTCTATCCCTAGCAAAGACTAGTGATTCTGCAAACTGTGAGGTCTCTCACTTCTGAGGAAATGGGCAGATAGATTCTACTCCTCTAGAGAGCAACACAGAGAAAAGAAAATTGAGAAGAGAAACTTGGGAAAGATAAAGGGGCTGTGCAACATATTGGAAGGGTTATTTAGGCATCTGCTCACCTTTGACCCACATAAGGAACTAGTTTTAAATATCCTCAATAACATCTCCAGCCTTCACACCTATTGAGATCTCACTACTTGCCTGTAATGACAAACTGAATTGGCTGACAAACCACTTCCATCATGACCATTTTAAAATTGTTGTATGGTTCAAGTGAAATTTAGTACCTGTTCATAAGCGCCTTACTCCATGCCCTACTCTCTGTGGCAATATTTGAATACTGTGAAAACTCTTCAGGTGCTTGAAGAGCAGTTGTTGTCATCAGTGATAGCTTTATGATTATTGCAGGTTTTATTGCAGGTTTGAGAATGAACAACTGTTATCTGCTGCTGCCAATTGTATCTCAGATACATCATCAGCATTAAACTTCT